TATTAAGGTCTCGGCTGGCATAGGGAAAGAGATTTCAACTTCAAGTGAGGAAATCTGGATTTTCTGCCATAAAGCTATTGATCTTAAAAAAGTCAATTCACTTCTTTGTCCACATTTTCTCCACTGAGAACTGTCTAGAATTTCCTTACCAGCCATCCAGGTCTGGGAATAAAGTGAATTAGTGAAAGCACAAGTTTCAGACATCTGGAAAAATGTTCCCAAGATCAAGTTTCTTTACAGATTTAGTCTTTTCAAAGCTATTTAAAAAAAAAAAGATTTTACTTTTTATTTATTGAGAGACCGAGAGAGAGAGAGAGAGAGAGAGAGAGAGAGAGAGAGGCAGAGACATAGGCAGAGAGAGAAGCAGGCTCCCCACTCCCCACGGAAAGCCTGATGCAGGACTTGATCTCAGGACCTCAGGATTATACCCTGAGCTGAAGGCAGATGCTCAACCACTAAGCCACCCAGGCATCCCTTTTCAAACCTATTTTTACTTGTATTTTTTCCTATAGACAAACAGGGAAAAGGTAGTTTTGAAAATTTTATTATTGCTTAATGAATTTTGAATTCTCAGATTGGAAGTAATAGACTTCATATCTGGATTTCTAATCCAGTGCCAATGGACTCACTTCATCAATCAGCTAGTCATTAGTGCAATTTTTAGTGTTTATAATACCTTCTCAGCCATCAGATTAATCTTGAGTGATGAGACTTATAACTCTTTGTTGGGTTAGAAGGGGAGACCAATCCTTTGTTGTCAGCTCCATGGCTAGAATTGGGAATATCACTGACTGCTGATAGATTTTGGCTTGTTCTTGGATATTTTGTGTATATGCGTACCTAATATTTATTAGAAATTGTTACCAGGCATTCTTTGGTGCTTACTTTCTAGTGCTGCTTTTTCCCTCAATTTGTTATCCTTTTTCCTGCTAATTCTGTGGCCTAAGAAAATTACTTATGTTGGTGAGCCTCACCCTCAGTATCATTATTTGTAAGATAGAGTTCTCATGGTGTTGGTAGGAAGGTCATATAAGGTAAAGCATATGAAGTACTTATAAGTTAATGCATGTTAAATGCAAACATAATGCTTGGCACATATTAAGTGCTAAATAGCTGTTGTTACTATTATTAGTAGTAATGTATCGGCTAATAGTATTATTAATCAGCTAATAATAGTGCTACTTCCTGAAATGGAATATTAAGTATATTTCTAAAGTAGAAAAAAAAGACCAAATGCAAAAGCTTAAAAGAAAGGTTCTAAGAATCTAGGTCATATACCTAGATTCTACATACTGGTGACTGTTTATTAACTTGTATACCCTCAAGCTACAGGGAACTATCTGTGGTGGTCATTCAAAAGATGCCACAGGATAACTGTACATTCATATACAAAAGAATGAAGTTGGGCCCCTACCTCACACCAAGTATGATATTTAATTCAGAGTGGGTTAAAGACTTAAATGGAAGAGTTAGAACTTTAAAACCCTTAGACAAAAACATAGGCATAAACTTTATGACCTTAGGTTAGGCAGTGGTTCCTTAGATATGATACAAAAAGTGTAGCAACATAGGAAAAAAATAGGTATATTGGACATCACAAAATTTTAAATGCTCATGCTTCAAATGACATCATCAAGAAAATAATACAGCTCACAGAATGGAAAAATTGTCTTGCAAATCATATATCTGCTAAGGGGCTTATTTCCAAAATATGTGAAGAACTCCTACAACTCAATAGCAAAAGAACAGATAGCCCAATTAAAAAGGGGCAAAGGATCTAAAGAGCATTTACTTAAGAAGGTATACAAAAGGAAATGAGTCCATGAAAAAATTGTCAGCACCATTAGCCATCAGGGAAATGCAAGTCAAAACCACAATGAGACACCACCTTAAATCCACTAGGATGACTATAATCAAGAAGACAGATAACAAAGTTTAGGGAGGATATGCAGAAACTGGAACTCTCATACATTGTTAGTAGGAAGCAACATGGTGCAGCTGCTTTGGAAAATAGCTGGAATTTTCTTACAACATTTAGCATAAATATAACTCAGCAGTTACTCTTAGGTGTCTATACATGGGAGATGAAAACATGTGCACACAAAAACTTGTACACAAATGTTTACAGCAGCATTATTCATAATAGCCCCAAAGTGGAAATAACCCAAATGTCCATCTACTGATGAATGGATAAATAAGATGTGGTATATTCACACAATGGGTATTATTCAGCAATAAAAAGAAATGAAGTACTGATAACAAGTTACATGGTAGACAAATCTTGAAAACAATATGCTAAATGAAGAAGCCAGTCGCAAATGACCACATATTTTCTGATTCCATTTATACGAAATCTCTAAAATAAACAAATGCAAAGAGACAGAAAAATAATAGTTTAGTGGTTGCTTAGGGGTTGGGGGGCGGTGGTTGGGAGGAAATGAGGAGTAACTGCTAATGGGTAGGAGGTTTCTTTATGGGGTGATGAAATGTTCCAAAAATGATAGTGGTGATCGTTGCACAACTTTGTGAATATACTTAAAACCATCAAATTGTATACTTAAAGTGCCTTAATTGAATAGTGTATGAATTATATCTGAGAAAAAAAATCTATTATAGAAACAAACTGAAAAGAGATGCCATGGAGATCGTTTACTGTGGAAGAACCTTGAAGTATCCTAGAATAAATGCTTCCCTGGTCACTACCACATCAGTCCTGTGAGGACTGAGACTCAGTTTCAGTCCCTGCTAGAAATCCTGTGTGTAGAAAGAAAGGCACATGACAGAATATTTGTTGAGTATTGTGACTGTGCTGGTGGTCCCTGGTACTACTCTAGGTTCCCTAATTCTCTAGCAGAACTAGTAGGACTCAGAAGTTGTGATACTCATGATTATGGTTAACTATAGTGACAGGATACAAAGTAAATCAGCATAAGGAGAAGGTGCATGGTATAAAATATGGAGGAAATCAGGCACGAACTTCTGAGAGTCCTATTTGAGGGAGCCACACAGAATGTACTTAATTTCTCCACCAATGAGCTGCATGGCATCATGTACCAAGGAATCTTACTAGAGGCTCAGATTACGTTTGTACTGGGGGCTGATCTGCCTAACACATCCCCAAATTCTAGACTCCTAGGAGATAAACAGTATTTTTATAAGCCACATATTTTACAAAAACCCATAAAGCACATTATTTATGTAATGTGGCACAGTGGCTACTCCCATCATTTAGGAGAGTTTTATATCAGTGTAGAAAAAACTGTCCCAGCCCAAGTCCCAGATGCCAGTCAAAGGCCACCGTTGCAAGCAGGCCTTTCTAAGGACAGGCTGCTCTGTTAACTCTGTCCTGCACAGTGAATAGAAGGAAGCCAGGTTCTAAATTTCCATGTGATCTGTAACAAGCCTACATGTGCAAAAAGTACTGGGAAGAGGAATCAGTGTGCCCTGGGAAGGGTGTTGCCTTGCATGCAACTGCCAACTCAACGGATGGTCATCTCTAAGAGGATAGTCTAGAGGTTGGGCTGTACTTTCAACTCCTTTTTTCTTCCTAGATGCCCAAAGCAGGTGAATTGAAGCCTTAGAGGAATAGGTCTTAAGCAGGGTGGTTTTGTACCCCAGGAGACGTTTGATCATGTCTAGAGACATTTTCAGTTGTTACAACTGGAATGGGGTGCTACTAGCATCTGTGCAGGGATGCTGCTAAACATCTTACACTGGACAGAACAGCCCTTCCACAGCAAACAATTACCTGGGCCAAAATGTCCATAGTGCCAAAGCTGAAAACTCTGTCCTAGAGAATATTTATCGTGGACAGCAAAGCCTAAGGAAAGCCATAAATGTATGGGATGGAGTAAGACAAGGAAGGCATTCAGGCTTACCATCTTTTAAACCCACCTCAACCCACTTTCCCTTTTCTCATTTCTTGAGATCAATGCCCTGAAGATTATAAACGCTTTTTCTATTCTATGTCTATTGGTAAAGGACTCTGGATGGGGGAAAGAAGGCACCTCCTTCTCTCAGTAGGGTGGCTATGATTTGAGGGTTTCAGATCTATTGTCATAGATACATTTCCCAGTCACGGACTCTGATGGAATGTGTGAGGATAGAAATACTGGCCTTCATGTTTTCACATAGAATTCCTAAAAGCTGAGAGTTATTCCTCACCATGTTATATACGAGCCCTTCCTATTTACCTCTGCTGTTTATAGCCTCATTTTCTTCCTTGTCTTTTCATAATATCTTTCCAAGTGGAAGCTAATGTGAATTTTGGTGCTTTCCAACTCCTAACTGGTATGTCTAACACCATGAGATTGAATTAATTTGAACTATTAAGCATGAAGTACATATTACCATGGAGCTTATTCCAGATGCATTATTGTTAGCTTAATTGTTATGGCTAATCATTGATTGTGGTTTTTCTGGGTTCTGAAATAATAATAATAATAATACTCTTTATTATAGTGCCTTTCATTTGAGGATCTTAAAAAGCCTGCATTCTGGAACCACTTATTGTAAAATTGTCATTATCTGTGTATTTGCATTTGGCAAAGTTTGAGGAGGAATATGCCAATGTATGATTTAAAAAGCCAAGAAAAATTTATATTCATGAATCATGCTTTTTTTTTTTCTTCAATTTACCAGCATGGAGAAATAAGAGGGGGGATTTAGCCCCACTGGGACATTTTATCCAGAGAGCAATCCTGTGCCTTTTATAACAATTCCATGGCCTTTATGTTCACTTAGTATCAGCTCTGACTTGGTAGATTTTAATTTTAAATGGTTCTCAGATTGTTTGACGGGTTGCATTCTGCTTTGTCTGGCCATTCAGGTGTTTGTATGTGTGTGTGTGATTGTGTGCGTGTGTGTATTTTATGGCCTTAAAAGAAATAATGGTTCTTTGGATACTCCTCATCACTTAAATCATATTTTGAAAAGTTCAAAATGAATGAAAAACATAGTATAATATGTCTGTACTTAAATATATATATTTACATACACAGAACACTGGTCATTGGGAAGAGGACAGTTAAAGTACAGCTTGGTCTCTTGATGATCCAAATACTTAAACAGTGAAGGAGACAGGGTAAGTTCAAGTGGTTCCCAGCCTACCTATTGTAGTTTGGATGAACACTTGGGAGGTCTGACCCTTTTATTAGTTGAAATTAATTGTTCCCATAAAGCAATTGCTTCAACATAACAATTATAACAGATTTCTAATGGAATCCTGATGAGTTTTGTTAAATCGACACTTACCCTAAGGACTGGAATCATCTTCATGTGCTACTGTATCTCCGCCCAGCAGTAGTTCAGGCAACTTAGATTTCCCCAGAAGGGTTTCAGTTTGGCTTTGGTGATACATGGAGAGTTTCTACCATTTGGCTGCTATCAAGGGGTCCAAGAGAAATAAATAGTTGGACTGTGGCTACATGGATTCTTATTGTTGTCTCTTTCCAGGGAGAAGTGAGGCCATGGACTCATGCCATGAATAATGAGGTCTCTTTGCGTTATTGGCATACATTCCTCTGAAGGCTAGGAGGCCACAGTGAGAAAGAGGGTAAACTGTTCTCTCCTGTGGCTACATATTAGAATCCCCTTTGGAGCTTTAAAACCCTCAAGTGCCTGGGTCCCAGCCTCAGAGTTTCTGATTTAATTGGTATGGGAAAGCACCTGGACATTGAAAGCTTTAAAAGTTCCCCCATGTGATTCTAATTGTTAGCCACATTGTGCTCTGCTTGGTATCTAGTTTTTAGTAGAGCTATGATTCAAATTACGTAACAACCAATACAGCACTATGTTCTTTCTTTTTACCAGGTATTGTGCTAAATGCTTTACAAGTATCAATCTGTTTGATTGTCACAATAACATACATTCATTTATTCAACAAATACATATGGGGCACAGGCAATGGGCCAGGCAAGGTGGTGGTTGTTGGGGAGGAGGATCAGGAAATATTTTCAGGGTTGATGACATTTGAAGTGACATTTAAATACCGAGGAGGGGTTAGCTGGGCAAAGGTGGAGGAAAGGCACTGCAGGCAGGGAAGATGGCTTTTTCAAATGTATTGAGAAGGAAGATGGCCAGTTTAAGGATGAAAAAACTGGTACTCCTTTTTAAAAATTTTATTTATTTATTTATTCATGAAAGACCCACACAGAGAGAGAGGCAGACATAGGCAGAGGGAGAAGCAGGCTCCATTGCAGGGAACCCAATGTGGGACTCGATCCCAGGACTCCAGGATCATGCCCTGTTGCTGAAGGCAGGCACTAAACCACTGAGCCACCCAGGGATCCCTGAAAACTGGTACTCCTGAAGCAAAGGTAGCCAACAGGAGTGCGATGCAAGATAAGACAAAGAGACAGATCCTCCTTGGCCGAGTTTGTAGATTTGGTAAAAGCTTTTGGCTTTTATTTTGTTTTGTTTTTAAGATTTTATTTATTTATTCATGATAGGCATAGAGAGAGAGGTAGAGACACAGGTAAAGGGAGAAGCAGGCTCCATGCCAGGAGCCCGACGCGGGACTTGATCCCAGGACTCCAGGATCGCGCCCTGGGCCAGAGGCAGGCGCTAAACCACTGAGCCACCCAGAGATTCCCACTGGCTTTTATTTTGAAACCAAGTGGAAGCTCGATCATTTGCTTTTCCTAGAAGATTTCTGGTTGCAGTAGGGAAAACTGATAAGAGGAAAGGAAGAGTGGATGCATTGTCATGAGTTGAGTGGCCATTACACTAGACCAGGACAGAATAAGAATGATTTGGACTAAGGTAGTGAAAGGAGGGAGGTAAGCATATTTGAATGATAATTAGGTGGTGAAATTCTTAGGGTTTGAAGGTGGATTCTAAGGGCAGGAGAGGAAAATGACTGCCATCTCCAGTGTTACTATTACTTACTATTATTAACTCAAATCATCACATGAGCTAATGAGAATTAGAGTAGTGCTTCTCAGGCTTTAGTGTATATGGGGATCGCTGGAGGATCTTGTTAAAATTCATATTCTGATGCAGTATGTTTGCAGTGGGGCTTGTGATGTGCCTACTGAGCTCTAAATGCTGCTACTGCTGCTGCCTGGGGTGGTCCACAGACCACACTTTGAGAATCAAGGGCTTTAAGGAATTGGCATAACTTACTCAAGTCATGGTGGAGTGGAGCCTGTACTCTTAACCATGTCTGTCTGCCTCCAAAGATTACTCACAAACTGTATGGCTTCTGAAAGACACATCTGTTGGTGTAAAAAGTCAGTTGAAGATGACCGAGAAGGTTGTATACCAGGCTAAGAAATGTGGATTTTTATCTGTAGGCAATCAGCAGCCATTGAAAATCTGTAAGCAGAGAAAGGTCCAATCAGAAAGCTTATACTATAGTTTATGGATGTATTTCCTTGAATATTTTGTTTGTTCTTTTTGGTATAGAATAGATCTGTTAGGTTGAATTGAAGTGCAGTTAAAAAAAAAAGTAAACACACACACACACAAATTAGAGGTCTGAACTTTGTAAGTAATAGGGATGGTTTATTAGATCATCTACTCTGTGATGAGAGTCATAATTGGCTCTTACTGTTTCCTGCCCAATCATCCCAAGGCACTTCACTAATAAGTGTCATCTTTCTTCCAGAGCTGAAGAAGCCGATGGAGAGAGGCTGAGGGACTTGGTGTAGTGGGGCTGACTCTTGGGCGTGGTCCCTCTTTCTGTGACGTCTGAAGTTTGTCATCACAGTTTAGGTGCATACCTGAACACTCGTTTGCCTTAACTGGTTGATCTGTCTGTCTGTACCAGAACTTCCTGATTGTCTCCCAGAGACTGCTAGCTTAGTTAGAAACTAAACAGGAAAAAAAAAAAAAGAAGAAAGAAAGAAATGTCAAAGCTTTGGAAAATACCGTGTGTGTTATTTTCTTCTTGGAAAGGTATAATGTACATCCACAGAGAAGGGCTCTGAAGAGTCCCACAGTAAAAGAAGTGTTTAACTTGTAGAACTCCATGGTTTTCCAAACGAATTTAACCTTAGAATTTCCCTCAATTTTTTTCTCCTTCCTAATTCTTGACATTCCATTAAACAGTTGTCTGTCTGGGGGAGTATTATGTCATGCTGTTCTGTACTCACAGATAACTATGGTCTTTAAAGCATCAATATCACTTGCCTGGACCTGTGTACTTTTCTTGAGTGGCTGGAAGATTTGACGTTTGGGCATCTAGGACAGCAGAATAGCCTAGGTTTTACTTGGCTTTTACTTAAGCCCAGTGCCCTTACAATGGTTAAAACTACTTCAGAAGTTAGTTGGAAGGAAAATCACTGACGTATCTGCATGTTTCCCTGTTGTCTGGAAAAGGTGAATCGTGCTTTTGTTTCTTTTCTTTGTTTCTGCGTGTTTAGTTCTATTTTGGCAGTCATAGGCTCTTCCTTCCCATTCTGTTTCATGTAAAAGATCCCAGGAATAGGATCATTGCCAGCTATGACATTTACATTGAGTCATTTTTTTTAATGTTAAATAAATAACATGAAACTTGAATGGTTTTTTAAAAATCTGAGGTAATTTGGTAATTTGAAAGTAAATTAAGTTTGTCTTTTGCCTGAAGGATCTGAGAGGGCCTTGCATAAGATGAAAAACAAAAACCCTTTTTAAAGAAGTAGACTATGTATAATTAGCATTCATATGAAACCAGAAACTTCTGGCTAAATAAATTTCAAGGTGTTGGTGGACTAACATGCAAGGTGAAATCTAATACCATAGTAAGAATGAAAACAAATGTAATAACAGAGGAAGATAGAAAGTTGTATTTAAAAAATATTGAGTACTTTAGAAGATGAATTTATAAGTACTGAATAGACTGTCTAAATGACACCAGGATTTCTTCACTCAGTGTGTCTGTTGTCTTCAACTTTCACATAATTGGTTTCTTATAGACGGCTATATTAACCCTAGTCTAGAAAATGTCTTTACATTTTGATAGGCATCAGAACTGGCTATGAAGCTCCTTGAAAATACATATGCCCAGGCTTCTCCCTAAGAGATTCTGATTAGGCAGGCTTAGCATGGCATACAGAAATTGTATTTTAAACCCCAAGGTATTTAATTCTGAGGAACAGTAAGGTTAGAACTGCTTTAGAATACTCCTTCAAGTTCTGTTATATCTAAGATTCACACAGGCAATCGGTTAAAAATGGCAATTCCAAGCCTCAACCTACAACCATTGTATATCTTTGTGCAAGATGTGCGGTGTCTAATCCGCACTGCTATTCGAGCTGCCCTCTCCCATCCTCAGATATGCTCCTTTAGTGAGCCCACGGTGGATTTCAGAAATCAGTATTTTTAACAATTGAGTATTTCTGGATAATAGAAATGAGTATCTATATGATTCCAATACAAGTGATTCAAGAACTGTATTTTGAGAATCACTGCTCTTAGAAACATGATTCAAAATAGGTAGGTTCTACGGGTGATCTTTTAAATGAAGTCATAGGCTACTCATTCAGATAAAGTTCTAAGCTGATAAATTTAGGTTGGCCATACCTTCCTTACCAGAGATACTCCATTTGGCCATGCAGACTTGCACACTCCCAAGCTCCAGACAGACCACTATTTCTAACTATCTCCTTGCACATCTCTGCTGTAGATAAGTCACAGCATTCTTCCTGCTGTATCTGGAGCAAGAGAAGCACAGGTTGAATAGGTTCTCCTCAGCTTTCACTCCGTGGAAGTGGTATTGCTGCTGCACTCATGAATTTGATCCTGAGAGGAGACTGAGTGGTTTTCAGTACTAAGGACAAAATAGTGGACATTGCAGGAAAATGCAGATCTACCACCCAACACCCATGAATTAATTAACATTCCCAGGGGATATACAGTGGTGCTGAGAACTTTCCTCTTTGTGTCCAACTAATTGCTTTTTTGTCAGACTCAGATTTTGAGTCTAGAATAGCAATTCTCTAAGTACGGTTCATGGATGCCTATGGGGTCCTAGGACTTCGTCAGGGTGTCTGCAAGGTAAGAACTATATTATCATAAAACTAAGTTATTTGTCTTTCTGTGTTGACATTTGTACTGATAGTGCAAAAGCAATGCTAGATAAAATCGTAGCATGAATCAAGG